ATCTTAGTAGGGAGGAGGCAGTGTAACGGTAAGAGAAGACAATATGGTAATCCAAATTAAAATAAACTTTAGAATTAAGAAAAATTGGTAGAATGGGCATATTAAGATAACGCCACACTCGATACTCCTATTGATGTCAAAAATGTCATAGCAGTGCTAAATAGGTAATTTTAGCTACATTATAGTGCTACATAGGGAAATCTCCCATGCATTATACATTGGTAAATTGCGTAGGAGGAGGATCTCACATAGCTATGGTAAACGGCATAGGATAATGTTCTCGCACGTATGAGACACACGAATGAGGAGGAGCTGCACATATGAGAAGGCGTGGCTACGTGAATAACCTGAGTTTAATCAAATAATTAAAAGTAATTAAAAATAGTAGAATATAATAAAAGGTAGAGGGTAGTATGCTTGGAAGATATTGACACTATATATAAAAAGCTACTTTCATTAAAAGATAACGAGTTTAAATCTAAAAATTAACTTTTTTTTTCAATTTATATAATATAAGACTACTAATAACTCCAAAAAATAATGCTCATAGTAGTAATAAATATGATAACAACAATAGTAATAAATAGTATTAAAAAAGAAAGTACTCCATGCATGGTAAGATAAATATATATATATATAAGTATTTGACATGCTCTGTAGATAAGAGTTTAATCCGTGATAATCAGTTTTATATTTTTGTAAGTTCTTTTCCGAATCCCATTTCCTCCTGCACGGAAATGAAACGGGTTGGTGAGAGGACAGAATAGCGGAATGAAAAAAATTAGAGTAAATTCTAAAAATAGTCCTTTGTAATAGGGTGTTTTCCCAAATCAGTCTTCAATAAGTTTTAATTATCTACGTGGTCCTCTATAATTGAGATTTATTCCCAAGATGGTCCTTCGTAGATAATGTTACTCAAATGAGGATTAATTGATGGTATTTGGGTATTTTTTTCCCACTAAATTTAAAATTAATTCTTAAAATGATCATTTATAATGAAGTACTTTCCCAAAATAGTTTTTCTAATTAAAGATGCGTATTTGATTTGAAATTTAAAAGATTTTTTCTAAGTTTTAAATAATTAATGAATTATTTATAGTCAATGTATTTTTAAATTTTACATTAGTTGTGCAGAAATGACTGTTTCGAGAATATACTTTAAACTTGGATGATCAAAATACCAAAATATCTTCCAATTAATCATCATTTGAGTAATATTATTTATGAAGGACTATCTTGGGAATATAATAGATCTCAATTAAAGAGGACCATGTAGGTAATTAAACTTATTGAGGACTGAATTGAAAAAACACCTTATTACAAAGGACCGTTTTGGGAATTTACTCAAAAAATTAATCCTATTTAGTGTACTACTCTATATAAACTATTCGATACGATTACGATATGGTATAGTATCATACTAGTTTTAACCCCGTGCTTCACACGGCCTCGTATATATTTTGAATTTGATATTTTATAAATATAATTATATTTATTGTAATTTTTAACGATATTTTTATGTTTCCATTTTAGATTATATTCTTTTAAATATTTTTGTTTAAAATTCTATTGTTTTAACATTTTAACATTTAGATCATATTACTACAATAATGTAATAGGATAAAAAATGTTGACATAAATAATGTAGATAATTCAGAGTAGTATTTTTACGAAGTAATAAGAAAAATGATGAACAGTTTAAGAGAATTATAATCTGTATTGGTATTTTTATTTAATAAAATTTATTTTAGTTTTTTAATCAAAACATACTTATGAACATTTTAGAACTGAAATTTATATTTCTAAATAGTTAGAAAGTAAATGATTTTATAAAACAAATAATAAAATAATGGTTACTCTGCATTTAAAATTAAAATGTAAAAGATATGGAAAATATGTTAATAAAATTTCAAAACTTTTAAATGTGCTTGTATATTTTTTTTAAAACTCAATGAGTTAAAAGCCTTGAGTATTATGTGGATATAATTATATACCTTTTAATTTTCGTCATTCTCTTTAAAACTTAAGTGGAAGAGATGGTATGATTTGGCAATCTATTTGGTAATAAACTAATGACGTGGCATGACACATGTCGTAACCACAATTAATTCGCTCAACTTTATAAATGTACTAGTATTTTAACCCGTGCTATGCACGGGTTGAACGAAATTATTTTTTATTCTACAACTTAAATAAAATTTATACTTCTAATTTGTTGAGATAACGTAGTTATTTCATACGGAGTACTAAACATTATAGTCTTGCATTTCTACTATCACAAATACAAATCTCATGCCCTAAATGTATCCTTGTTTATTACATTTTCAATTCTCAAATATTTTAGGAATATAGTATAATAAAACTTGGAAATTGGGAATGAAATTTGAAGAAGAAGATGATCTCTGCATGACTTTCGTATTGTGTTTGAAGAAATTAGAAATGCAAGACTAAGATTTGAGTACAAAATAAATGTGCAATGTCAACAAATTAAAAGTGTAAATTATACATAGGGACTATTATTAAAAAAAAAAAATTAAGGATGGCTTAACAAAAAATTACATGGACCAAAAACAAAACTTGCCTATTTTATATGAACTAAAAACATATTGAAACCTAAATAGAATCAAATCTAAAATCACTTAGTCATATCATAAACAAATATGAAATTTGTTTGGAAGTGAATAGCGTAGTATATATATTCATTGAAAGTATTATTATAAATTAAATGAAAAAATAAAAACAAAAAAAATATTCTAACAAAAACAAATATCTCGACTCCTTGATTAAATTTACTCAATGATAGTAAAATCATAAATAATGTTAGAGTAATATAATAAGTCACAACGATACATTTTATTTCAATCATTTGTTTTTAATAATATAATTAAAAATATCATAGCAAATAAAAATAATAATATATTCATAAACTAATTCATAAATTACCTTAGAATTACTAACCATAAACTATCTAGTAATTATATATATAAAACCATAAAATTAATATAATCAAATTACCAAATAATATCTAGTATTTTCTTTACATGTTTTAACAATTTATAGTTAAATCATCGCATGTTTATGAGGTATTCCAGTTTTAAAACAATTTTTTATTAACTTTTATCAATATTTTAATAAAAAATTAAAAGTAAGTACTTCAATTTAAATAGATCATATATCAACTTCTTATAGATTAAAATCTCAATTATATATATAAAGGATTAATTATAAACATATTTGATCATTTCCTATGAGAATACTTTTAAATAAAAATAGATTAGTATCAAAATTTTGTTGTATGAGTATCCACCTAGTTAAAACTTGATTAATAAAAAATGTTAGTCAAGAAATGGTTAGTGATAATACTACTTCTATTTTTCACTAATAATTTTGCTACAACATAATAAACTTTATCATATCATAATTATATTATATTTAATTGCTTTCCTTTAATATTTTTATTCTGGACAATATTATATTTAATTTTAACAAATTTTATTCTATAATATAGTTTGTTTTATCATATCATCACAAATAAATAAATGAATTTATTTCCATTAAAAAATACAGAGTATAAATACTCAACTGATGTCGCGATGTAATGAATTCTTTATTTGCCCTAAACATTTTATGCAAAATTTTCTGAAGTTTGAAACTATTTTGAACATATTCAATCCATATATATGAAAATAATTTTAAATATAAGTTTATCATTATTATAATTTTATTTTAAAATAGAAAAGGAACGTCAATTCACCATTTATAAAATTTGACACATAAGCAAGTAATAAAGGCCTGTCATCTCACTTTAATATATTCCACATAGACTTGACACATGTCAGTTTTCTAGCAAAATGAGTCTCAAATATTATATTTAAAGATAAAGATATATGATATAGACTTGACACATGTCAGTTTTCTAGCAAAATGAGTCTCAAATATTATATTAAAAGATATACGATATTAGTTCTTTTTTTTTCCCAGCTAGAGAACCCATTCAAGTGTTCAACGCAAATGGAACTTAAGCTCCGTTCCGTTCAACTTATTTTTTCTGATCTGATTTTAATAAGTTCTGATTTGATCTAATCTGATTGGATCTGATCTGATCTGATTAGATCTGATCTGGTCTGGTCTGATTGAATCTGATTTGATCTGATCTGATTGAATCTGATCTAATCTGGTCTGATCTGATCTGATTAAATATGATTTGATTTAAAATTTAAATCAATAATTTGATTTGACTTTATAATAACGTTTGAAAATTGTAATGATAATTCATATTATAATATAATCAATATTTTTTATTTTATGATTATTTTATAATAGAATAAAATTAGTTAATTCATATCTAAGAATTATCATTCATATTATAATGTAATAATATTTTTTATTTTATGATTATTTTTTTGTGAAATTAGAATATTGATTTAATATTTTAATAATTACTTCATATATACATTAGAATAAATATTTAATTTATATGTACATCAAAAAGTAATTAAATTTAGATAATCAATATATAATAGTATTTTTATTAAAATATCTCATCCTTATAAAAGATCAAAACTTTAGAAACTCAAATTACAGGTAGCAATAAAAATGTGTTTTAAAAGTAGAATTAGATTGACATTGTCAATGTATTTTAAAAATAATTTTTCCGACATCTAATAATTAAGGATTACTTTCTCAGTTTTCTATTTAACTTGTTTCTAAAGTTTATTCTTTTTCATTTTTAAGAATAATAATAATAATAATAATAATAATAATAATAATAATAATAATAATAATAATAATAATAATAATAATAATAATAATAATAATAATAATAATAATTCTTGATGTGATCTGATCTGATTATATCTGATCTGATCTAATTAGAACTGATCTGATCTAATTGGATTTGATATAATCTGATTCAATCTGATCTGATTCGATTTGATCTGGTCTGATTTGAGGTTAATAAGAATAATAAAAAATAAGTTGAACCGCCTTACACTCGGATAGAAAGTGGTTTTTTCTTCATGGGTTCATTTTCTCCGGGGGTACACATTTTTGGCGGGACAAAAAGAGAAGAGGGGAGGGAGAATGAGCTCGTCGGCTGCGGTAGAGCCAGATGGCACCACTCCCTATCTCGTCTGCCGGATGGACAACGTCCAAGGCGTCGTCGACGCCCTCACCTCCGTCCGCTGGAAGCGCTATCAGGTTCGCCATTTGATCTCACCCACTCTCTGCTCCTCCTTAAATTTACCGCTCGTTTGCTCAAATTACTGTATTTATTTTGCTTGTACCTTTGTATTTGATGTTTTTAAGCATGGGCTTTATTTGGGTTGTTATTGTTGTATGCTCAAATTGTGGGGGGACTCTGTTAGTGTTACTGATAATTTTTACAATTAGGATGCTGTCATCGAGATTTCGGAGCACGGCTTGGTGTTGATCGTGGAGGAAACTCGATGTCTTCAGGGCAAAGTTTATTTGCAACGCGAGGTGCAGTATTTATTCATCAGTCATCATCACCTAGAGATTATATGAAAATTTTCTGCGAATCAACTCATATTCTTCATCATTTCTTTTGATTTTAGTAGTTTTAGTATGTGATTTAAGCATTTGATGTTCGTTCATGCAGCTGTTCAGCCAATATGAATACCGTGCAGAAGGGAGACCTAGATTTGGAATGAGCTTAGGTCTATTTGTGGATTGTCTCAGTACATTTTCGGTCCCTGGAAAATCAAGTGCAATTGAACTTCGGTTTCCAGGGCCTGATATGGAGCTTCTTCTCAAGTAAGTTTGCATGCAAGGTTTCTAAGTTTGCTTGATCTGGAATTGGTATTCTAAAGAAACTCACAGTCTTCTATGGTGCTAAGAGTTTCTTGGGAATATCTTGATTTTTGTTATGAGTATTGAGTAAAACAAAACATTGAATATGCCTTGTTTATAGATTTGCAAATGTTGGATATGGATTGTTGTGTAGTACAGTAGTAAGTAACAATATTAACCATGAAGTATATAGAAACATCTGCGAACAAAGAAAACCTGGGATTAATAGTAGTGTCAGATAAAATTCCAACACCTCAGTGCTTATAAGAAGATGAAACATGGTCAACTCAGAAAGGGTTCGCTTCTCCTTCTTAGAAGTAAGATTATTATTGAAGGAACACAGATGACATACTGCAGATACCTAAATATTGTCCTAATTGGGTTGTCTGTATGTTACTTACATATGAGCTGTTTATTATACATGTGGGCAAGACTCCTCTCATATCAGGCTGTGTCAGTAAGTGCCACTTCTTCCTCTGCAAGCGTGTGTAGTTTTGATATTCCAAACACTACTTCCGGGCACATTTTCTATGCTGCAATTGTCCTTTTTATTTTTCCATTTTATATTTTATTTTCATTTTTAAATTTTATTTTGTTGGAGAGAGGAGATTCATCAAGTCCCTTACTCCCTTAGAAGAACATCATAGCTTGGGTAGAATTTTGGGCTACCTCCATATGTCATTCGCATGACATTAATTTTTAAAATGTTTACAGATCAGTTGATTCATCTAATGCTTGCATTTATGCGGAGATCAGAACAAGGATTCCTGAGACGATGCCATGGGACTGCAACTTTGAACCTACTGGAAGTACACCTATTAGTTTTACCGTCAAGGTAAATGTTCCCCTTTAAATTAGCAAATGTGTAAATTAGAAGGCCACAAATGCACTAAACATTGTGTTACTTAAGTGTTATGCCATATGATAAGATTCATAAGTTTTTTTACTTATGAAGATAACATTCATTAGTTGCTTGAGTTTTATGTTACATACTCCCCCAGTCCCCCTGCCCCGAATGAAGGTTCCACTTGCACATTTTTGAGTGAAATTATTTTCAATTCAACTTATTGAAAATTAGTGTAGAATTTAAAAAATAAAACTTATATATTTAAAAACTACATCAAAAGTTTTACAAAATAAAAGTTAGCTTTTTTGTTTTATTTTATCAAATGATCAATGAAAATATGTAAAAAATGAATATATAGTATGACCATGTGGACAATAAAGTAGAATCTTATTGTGGGACGGAGGGAGTAACATTTTATTTCTAAGAACATTGATCACATGGATTCATGTTTCTGGGCTGGAGCGGTGAAGGTATGGTGTCCAATGTATTATGAAAGAATTTCCCGAGTCTTTAAGTCGCATTTGGCGGGGACGATTTAGATGACTTGTGATGGTATTCGATACCTGTTTTAGATGAATTTTTTTTGGACAGTCTGAAACATTTGCTCCTATATATCAGGTTCAAGGTATGATAAATAAGTAAGAGTTGCTGATAAGAATATCACGCTCACTGTGCTCTCTCCTTATGTAGAACAAGTGAGGAACTTCTTTGGACATCTACTGGTGTCTTACGTACATTCTTGCATGTGTCTGATAAAGCTTGAGCTTGATTGAATTTAGAATTAAAAAAGGTACATCAAGTCCCAATTCGAGAAGGGATAGTCTCCAGATTCTCAAAGGAAAATACAATAAAAGATAATCACATAAGAAAATAACATGACACTAAGTAATAAACCCACTCCCAGGGGAGTTGGTAACTGCCACGTAACCCACCCACTCAGCCACTTAGTGGGTTGTTTGAAATGCCCATTAACATTTTGAGCTGCTCCACTTCTGCCGGCCCACCCTTTGCCATCTTCTTTTTCCTTCTTGAATATACCAATCTGATTGGAGGCTTATCACTACTACGCGCCCGGTAAAACGACTTGTCCTCAAGTCGAAAGGAAGGGAATTGAGCTCGCAACAGATCATAACACTCCCAGGTAGCTTCCTCCACTGGACGTTGACACCAAGAGATGAGTAACTCCAGCACATGCTGACCTGCTTCCCATACCCAGCGGTGAGAGAGAACTTCTTTAGGCTGCACGTCAAATTCCCAATCCTTTGTGATGGGGAGGGGAGCAATAGGTGAAGTTGGAACTTGCCCCCTAGCTGGTTTCAGCATTGATACATGAAACACCGGATGAACGCGAGCATCTGGAGGCAATTCCAACTCATAAGCAACAGGCCCCACCTTGCGTGTAACTTTGTAA